ACAACCACACACAAACAAGGCAACTATTAAGGTTACAATTAAGTAGCCATTAGCATAGTGGTCAAGAGTCGGGCTGCTAACGCAGCTGCTCTGTGGGAGTAAGATGAGGCTTTCTGCTCCCAAAAAGATTTACAGCCTCGGAAACCCTGTACAGGGGCGCTATGAGTTGGAACCGACTCCACGGTATCCACCACCACCACCAATTTTAGATAAAATTAAAGGCCATGGACATACACATGAAATGAGAACCCAAGAAACGGATCTGCATTTGGGAGGTTAGGCCTATAAGAGGCAGCAGATCACACTGGAGAATCACTGCTTTCTCACTTTCCAGAACTCTTACTCATTAGCACTAGGCAGACACAATAGGCAACAGATACGGGGCAGGAAGCCCAGGGCTTAATCCTGGTCTGGTTGAAGGGCATGACCCTAGCCTGATGGCTAGGCTTGTAAGAAACAGAAGGAGGAAGTGTGCAGGAGCAGGGGTTTTCTGCTCCAAATATAAGCAGTTGGGAGTTGCCCAGGTAAGTTCCATATTTGTGCATAATAGTTCAAAATAAGCCAGAAACAAAAGCCCAGTCACTCTGACCATTTTCCAACTTCTTAAACTTAGTCCTGGTGTGGCTCTGTGGGCTAATGCATCAGACTGCAAAGTCGTTTGAACTACATGGTCAGTGGTTCAAGCTCGCCAGCTGCTCCTTGGAAACCCTATACAGGGTCACTATGGGTTGGAACCGACTCGACGGCACTTAACAACAACAACAAACTTAGTCCTGGTATGGCACTGTAGGATAAACACTAGGCTGCTAACTGTAAGGTCAGCAGTTCAAAATCACCAGCCGCTCCTCAGAAACCTTATACAGGGTTGTTACAAGTCAGAATCAACTTGACAGAACTTCACAACAAACCTCTGCCATTTCTCTGCAGACAGATTGCCATAAAGACCTCTGTGGGCCCTGGTAGACCTTTCCATCTCCCAGGCAAAAAATCCCCCAACACCTTACCTGGACAAGGTGTCTCTGGGGTACATTCCACGGTCATCTGCTCAGGAACCACCACATATATGGCTGGCCCACCATACCAATAATTTGCATTTCCCAAAGGAACTCCTGTGGCAGCTGAGAAGTTAAGTAAAATAGAATCTAGTTTTACACTTTTAAGTCAGATGTAAGCAGAAAATAATCAATTGTGTATTATCTATCATCTGGAGTCCTGGTATAAGCACTGGACTGCTAACTGCAAGGTTGGTGGTTCAAACCCACCAGCTGTTCCTCAGAAACTCTATACAGGGTCGTTATGAGTTGGAACCAATTCAACGGCATTTAATTGTTGTTGTTGTTAGTGCCATAGACTTGGTTCCAATTCATAGCAACCCTGTATGTGATTTCCAAGGAGCAGCTGGTGGTTTTGAACTGCTGACTTTGTGGTTCACAGTCCAGTGCTGATCCTACAGCACCACCTCAGGAGTCCACAGTTAATAATAGCTGACATTAACAAATGCTTGCAACATGTGAGGCACTATCCCAAACCCTTTCCTATTTTATCATCATCTAAACCTCACAACCCTATGAAATATATATTATTGAAATTAACTCCATTTAACAGATGTGGAAACTTAAACACAGGGGGTAATTAGATAACTTGGCCAAGGTTACCAGAAGAAAAAAAAACATTGATGAGTCAGAGCTGGGATTTGAACCCAACAAGCCTTACTCTAGAGGTCTGCAGGCTGGTTCTCTCAGCCAGTAAGGTATATCAATTTTCAAGTGGTGATTTCTAAATAGTACACATTGTGGCCCTGTGGGATATGTGGACTGTTCTCACTGAATTTCCTTAGTGTGTGTCCCTAATGCTTACATTAAAACAACAACAACAACAAACAAAAAACTAATCATTTGTGAAGGAGCCCTGGTGGTGTTGTAGGATAAGTACAGAACTACTAACTACAAGGTCAGCAGTTCAAACCCACCAGCTGATCCCTGGAAGAAGATGAGGCTTTCTGCTCCCATAAAGATTTACAGCCTCAGAAAACCTATACAGGCTCAGTCTGACGGCATTTGGTTGGTAATAATTTGTGAGAGTTTGGTTTTTTGTGTCTTGAAACTTGCAAACTGATTTTCTACCTCAATTTTTTTTTTTTATTGATTTCCAAGAGAACAAAGCGGATGAGAGAACAATTAGGCAGGTTTGCATGGGCTAAGTGGGACAGAGGTAAATAATGATGTATGCACAACCTTGGAACAACAGGGC